TCATGACCTGAGCCGAAGGCAGTCGCTTAACCAACTGAGCCACCCAGGCGCCCTAAATATCTATTATCTTTGTTTTTAGTATACTCTGTTTGTTGTAAGCTTATTTGATTTAATTTTTTTAAAAGATTTTATTTATTTATTTGTCAGAGAGAGCACAAGCTGGGGGAGAAGCAGAGGGAGAAGGAGAAGCAGACTCCCTGCTGAGCGGGGAGCCCAATGCAGGACTCGATCCCAGGACCCTGGGCTGGGGCAGCTGAGCCGAAGGCAGCTGCTTAACCGACCGAGCCACCCAGACGTCTCGATTTGATTTAATTTTTAATAATGCTGCACTTAACAACCAGCTCGCACAATTCCTGATAATTTCTCAGCTCCTGTGAGCCACTGTGAGTCCATTTCCAGCAGTCAGATGCTTTCAGTTGTCCCATGTTTAAGCACAGGCATAGGCCATCACAGACTAACTGTATGTATCGAAGCTCTAAATCAGTGAATGTGGCTGGGTCCAAATGAGCACAACATATATACTTGCTTAATGCAGAGGAACCATTCACATGCATATTCTGGGCACAGTGCACAAAGCGGAGCAGCTGACCATGGCTTTTTCAGCCATGCCTAACCACATAAATAACAATCCTATATCATCAACCCATAAGAGGGTAGGGAGGTAGGTTGGAGCCAGAGACTCATTGCTAAAGGACCTCTGAAGAGTCCTCATTTTCGTGTCTACAGAAAGTGTAGCCAGAAGGACTTCCATCTCAGTACTTTTCAGTACCATGGCCTTAGAAAATTAAGGCAACTGGGGCTGCTCTTTTCTCTGGAGCTGGGATGAGGATGACAGATACGGAGCTCCAGGTGAAAGAGACAGACAAAATCTGAAGCTGACTAATTAATTTGTATACTAGTTCTAAACTACTACCATTGTATCAGAATGCTAGAGTTGCAAGGGACCCTAAAGATTACTCACCTCAATTTGGAGATGAGAACATTGAAAAACAGAGAGGCATACAGTAAGAGGAAGCATGAGGACTTAACCTCATGTCTTCTTAATCTGAGTTTAGTGCTCTTTCAAATATATTCTAATTACCTTATTTTAATTCTTAGATAACAGCCAGTGAAATTAGTAGTTTCAGGACACAAATTTCATTGCACAGATATTTTGAAACAAGAATCACTCTTGGGGCGCCTGGGTGGCTCAGTTGGTTAAGCAACTGCCTTCGGCTCAGGTCATGATCCTGGAGTCCCGGGATCGAGTCCTGCATCGGGCTCCCTGCTCAGCAGGGAGTCTGCTTCTCCCTCTGACCCTCCCCCCTCTTGTGCTCTGTCTCTAAAATAAATAAATAAAATCTTAAAAAAAAAAGAATCACTCTTTACCATAATTATTTGAGGCTGAGTTTTGTTGAAATTTCAAAAGAATTCTCTTTCGAATGTAAAGCTGTTGCTGGTGATATAAACATAGTCACCATTGGGAACATCACATCCTTCTCTAAAGACCTCCAGATAAATCCTTTCTGAAAGGATGATCTGTGGTGAGAAGTACGTGGGTAATCAGTTGATAATCCAAAATAGAGATTTACATTTAAGAGTCACTAGTACAGAGATGATAGCTGAAATTAATCCAAGGCTTGAATCAAAAGTATACTTATAATGGAGTTATAAACCAAAAAAGTATGGAGAAATCAGAAAGCATGTAATGAGGCTCTGCACATGGTTTAAGGGCCACTCAGAAAACTGGCCTCTGCTCTACACTAATTCTCCGGTCACGCTCACTCTTCACGGAAGCCGCACTCGTTATATTTAAAGACAAAATGCTCACTTACCCAACACAGGTAATTTGTCCCCAGATATTCCCTACTTTCCCCTTCCTGCCAACACCTTGATCACAGAAGAGACGTAGATAAAAGTTACTCTCCTCTTGCAACACATTACCTACTTCCAGATTAGGGTTCCCAGATTTAACTAATAATAATAATAATAATATTGACTGCCAGATTAAATTTGAATTTCAGATAGACAACACAGACTTTTTAGTGTAAACATGTCCCAAATATTGTTTTTTAAGATTTTATTTATTTATTTGACAGAGAGAGCAAGAGAGCACAAGCGGGGGCAGCAGTAGAAGGTGAGGGAGAAGCAGACTCCTCGAGGAGCAGAGAGCCCAATGTGGGGCTCGATCCCAGGACCCTGGGATCATGACCTGAGCCGAAGGCAGACGCTTAACCATCTGAGCCACCCAGGTGCACCCCGTGTCCCAAATATTGCATGGGACATATTTATATGAAAAAGTACTTAATATATATCTAAACTTCAGATTTAACTGAGCATCCTGTATTTTATTCGGTAACATTATTCTCAGCCTCCATTCAGAAACAGTTCAAACTAAGTTATGTGTACAGGAACATCATCCATTCATATTTCAGGAGCCTCCTTCACACTTCTGGTGCCTCAATTTGCACCTGGCATACTCCCATATATCACAGTGAGATAACTTGTTACCTTTCATTCGGCTGAAAAAAAAAAAATTAAGTAGTTCTTAACCTGCAGTCTTTCGATGCACAAAGTCCAAAGCTCCCACTGCTGTCATTAGGTTTTGCTGACACTGACCACTATGTTTTCGGCTCACAGAAGATGGTTCTCATAGCACGAAAGTCTTCATTAGGAGCCTGACAGCCTCCCAGTTCTCTTCACTGGCATGTCAGGCTTCTTCCAGAACTAAGACAGTTGGACACACTGTCTTCAGGCCTCAATAATTATTCTACTGGGCAACAACAACAAAAGAGATCCTTAAGAGACATCAAACTCCATATCATCACTCTACCCTGACTACCAGGAACCTTGACCATCAAATGAGAAAGGACTGTTGTGGACTCAGGGGGAGAAGCTTCTGCTTCTTCTTTGTCCACCTGGAAACAGACCTTCACTTTCTGTGGGTCTCTGGTGTCTCTATTCTCTCTTCAGGGAAGAACAGTCGGACAAAAATTTCTTTCTACAATGGTGGCACCTGGAGAGACCTCTAGACACTTGCTCTCATCATCTGGCCCCTGGAAGCGTAAATTAAAAAAGAGATTCAAGATAAATCTCCCTGCCACCCTTCCAAAACAATGCCACCTCTGTAAGCCACTTCGGCCAAAAAATTTTTTTTATATTGATATATCTGTGTGCAGAAAAGTACTTAATGATCAAAGAGACTGCTTGTATTCTGAGCTTCATTTGTGGCATTGTTCAACAGCAGAAATCATCCTTACCTCCCCCAAACCCTCACATACCTTTCCCTCCCCTAGAAAAATGTCTTTCTTGCCCTACAAGAAAACCCAATCTTGGCTCCCTGGGGTGTCACTTCCTTCTGAATTATGCCGAGAGAAAAAAAATCAAATGTCCTTTTGTACCCTGGAAAGCAATTGCAGACCCTATAATTCTTTTTTTTCCCTTATGTAATTTATACATTGGCTTTCAGTGAAATACACCCTCTACAAATTTGCTTTGTATTTGGAAGACAGCATCTTCAGCTCTGACCTTGTTCCTTGTAAATAAGGAAACTGAATTCCCCATCCACAGGAGAACAAATCACTTTATCTTCTGGATAAATGAGTCAGTCATTTACTTGTCATAAAGATGACTTTCTCTTTGGAAAGTCGGGCTGTGGAGTAGTTGTGCTAAATCACTTTGAAGCATCTGCATAGTAAATGGAATAGTTTTTCTTTAGTTTTCCTTTGGAAGGGGGCCAGTTCCCTCACACTGTCTGTTGGGTAGCAACAAAAATGTTTATAATACCAGCCATCAACCAGTAGCCAATCCCATCCTAAATCTCTTTAGCATATGGCCAAACTGGAGGAGTTCAGAGGAGCGAAACATAATGGAATAAGAACATGCTAACTCTGGATAATGTCCTTGGAGCACACAATCAGACACCGATGTTACAGGCTTGCGGAGCCACCAAAGTAAAGCTAGGAGGACGGACTCCTGCAATAGATGAGGTGTACATTTTGAGAGGAGGAAGATGAAAGGAAACAATTTTGTTGAGCGCCACTACTGGGCTGGATGATGGACATATCTTACCCACTTATTCCTGAAACATTTTGGAAAAGCTGATATTTTTACCTTCATTTTTTCAGATGAGGAAATTGAGATCTGAGAGATCAGGGACTTGTTCAGAAATCGTAATGCACATAAATAGCCAAGCCAGGACTCATCGCTAAGCCTCTGCTCCTAAGCCTCCTCACTGTCACCTCTCAGGGGACTGCTTTTGGGAAAAGGACCTGGGGACCTTCTTCACATTTGCAAGACTTCTCACTGGAGAGCAGAAACTCCCTGTGAAAGCCCATTTCCCTCAATCTGGCTCTCAAAGGGGAAAAAAGAGGAAAGGGTATTCTAGCTACTTTCACAGAGACCTGTTTCATCCACAGTCAACCAGCAGTGAGTTTCAGGCTAAAACACGACATTTTGTCTCTGGGCAGTCTCCCACATTGTCTCTCCTGGTTGGAGAGGCCCCCTGGGGCTAACCCAGGCCCAGGGCACTGATTCCACTGATCAAAAATACGTAATAATAGCAAGAATGACAGCCGCCATTTTTCTAATGGTTGCCACTCACCAGGCACAGTGCCAACACCTCTTAAATGTCATCTTGTTTCATTCTGAAAGCAAACTTAGGAGAAAACAGTTATTATTCACAGATAAAGCGAGGTGGAACCTCGCTGGAACCTCCATGCCCTTCCTCCCTCTCCACCCTTTGCTCTGGAAAGAAGGTGGCCTTAGAAAATAAATACACACGGAATTATGCTTTGTGGAGTGAGCCATAGTAGAAAGAGATCAATTGTCTGTCTTCTAGAAGTTGCACTATGAAGATGGCCCTACTAATGAGATGTAGGTGGAGCAAGAAGATGAACAGAGACCAAGGGAGAGGTACTTGCAGATGTGGGATGGAGCTGGGGCAGGCACTCTGCAAGGACTGAAGCGACTCAAGAAGAAGAGTAAAGAAAGGTTTGCACCATCCTCTGGGCTCTGAATATATCTGTGTGCTACTAGTAAGATTAATTTCCTTCTAATGTAGGATCACGTCTGCATATTATTGCAAAAGCATAAAGGCAGAGTGTACCCATTTCACAGTGGAAGAATCTGAGGCTTGGGAGACTTAAGTAATGTATTCAAAGTAAAATTCTTAGGGAAGTGGAAAGACCCAAGTTTGTTTGATCCCAAAGTCCAGGCTTCTTTATTCCTGGCATGAATAGTTTGGCTAAGTCTAGACTGAACGAGTTATAAGTGACAGTGCAGAGATAAAAATGTAAAACAAGAACAGTTCCATACGTAATTTAAAATACATTCTGTATGTAATTTAAAACATATTCTGCTCAAAAGATGGCAAGTATTTTCCTGTCTGACGCCACTGGTCTCTGCAGGAGACTTAAAGTAGCTTTCTGATCTTTCTCAACTCAGTCTGGCAGAAGCTGCTAGCTGTTCACTGGTGCTCACACGAGGCATGGAGAATTATCTGCCACTCTTGTTCTCATTCTTAGCTCTCAGCCCCAGATTTCAAACCAAACTGGACAAGGACCGAGTCGCCAGGGTCGTGTATGTCAGTGTGAGGTCAGTTGGAGAATCAAAGGGAGTTAGCCGGAGACTCAAGCCTCAAATAAGCTTGAATTATCACCAGAGTGGAGAGACCCAGCCATCCTTGGAGTCTCTGGGGACCCTGCTGACTACCGGGTTCTGCACTGGGCACCTTGCACATAGCCTCACCTTGTGGAACTGTGGAGGGTATATCCGGGCAGCCCCATGGTTCAACAGGAGCTGGTAGCAGATCTCAGGCTGGGCCGCCGGGCGCACAGAGGTGACCTTCAGCACGTACTGGATGGCAGCACAGCCATTGATATCCATGAGATTGGCTTCGGCCCCCGCCTCCAGCATCATGTGCATGAGCACGTGGTCACAGTTCCAGGCGGCCTTGTGCAGCGGGGATTTGAAGTCATCATCCCTGGCGTTGACCTCGGCCTTGTAGTCCAACAGCATGCGGCAGATCAAGTGGTGCTCCCTGCTGTACTCCTGCTCTTTAAAGCGGAGGGCCCAGTAGGTGGCGATAGCCAGCGGGGTCTCCATGTGGGCGTTCACACTGTCCACTATGGCCCCGTGCTCCACGTAGAAGGCCACCAGCTCCGAGAGGCCGAAGTGGGCAGCCGTGTGCAAGGGCGTCTCCTCATCCTGATTGTTGGTCTTCATGTTCACGTTGGCCCCTAGAAAGGGCGATTGAGGAAGACAATTACGTCAACATATTTTGCCATTATTCCTGAGGTTCAAGACTTTTCCCACCGCTTCCCTTTCAACCTTTGACTGCCTTACATAAGCCATTCTTTCCAGGGTCCTTTGTTGGTGCCCAGGGAAGCCAGGCATTTGAAACAACAGGGCCGCCTCCTGGACAACCAGCAAATGTACTGGGGTTGGGTAAGGGTGGGGGGAGAACCGACGATTTCCACGGGAAAGCCAGAGCACGCCATTGAGTTTCAGTTCCCCAGGTGGATTGGAAAATACAAAGTGATTCCTGTAACTAAATAGCTTTTATCGATAAAATAGCAAATATCATTGAAAATAAAGGTTATATTGCAACCTTTGGAGCTCACACAGGTGGCTTTAAATATCACCAATTTCTCTGAATGTTTCACAAAATCATGTTTTTCTTCTCTTTCAAAGCTGGGAAACCTGAAAGTTTGGTCCAAGCAAACTTTAGTATTATGGAAGTTGCCCAGCTCTGACTGCCAACAGCTGATACTAGAGCCACCCAAGTCTAAGACTCCTTTGGAATACAACTGGGGAAAAACTAAGAACACAAACACTGTGACCACCAAGCTAGCCTAAAGGTCATATTTTGCTTGGAAAGGGGTAGAAGCCAGTCTAATAGAAATACTCACTGAAAGAAAGAGAGTGACTTAGAGGCATATTTGATTTATGGCTGATAATGGTTGTTAGAAATACAAATTTGTACTGTTTGGAAAGCTCCGCAGAAATTACTTAACCAGACTCACTTATCTAACACACTAGGAAACCGAAGTGAATTTTATTTTTCTGATAGAGTGTGTTAAGTACTAGAATGGTCAACTTAAGAAGCTGAAATTTTCCTTCTCTGCCTAATTTAATGGGGTGAACGCATCGACCCCTAGGGGGCCTACTCTATAATCAATTCTACTGGAAATTTTCATAACTACTTCAAGTTTAAATCTGGAAAGATTTTTTTATTATAATGATTATTATTTCAGCAACTAATATTTATTAAGCACTTACCATTTGTAACATTCTGAGCTAAATGCTTTTCATATGTTGCCTCATTGAATCTTCCCTAGCAACCCTTTGCAATAGGTGCAATTTTTACCCTAATTTTACAGATGAAGAAATTTGTACTTAGAAAGGCTAATAACGACATCAAGCTATGATGCGATAGAACGAAGGTCTGAGAGCAGACAGCCTGGCTTCAAAAATCTCTTACCACTGTACATCCTACCTCATGATTTTTCTAGAAGAAATCTTTCCTGTATTTTGCTCTCTTTGGGTAGTTGAAAACTTGAAAGGACTAGAGAAATCATGTTGCATTTTGTGATTTTTTAAAAATTTGTTTTCCATATATTGCCCCTTTATGCCTTTGTTTATGGCATCCTGTGATCAGGCAGAACCTACTTAGGAAGGGCAATACTCCCACACACATGCTCAGCATCCTATACAAAATCAACCCCCCAGTGAGGTTTCTGAGAGCACTTTGCGCTATAAACTTGGAGGCTGTCTGTTCTCTCAACTTGCAGAGAGCAGACTTATAACCAAAGATGGTCTCCCACAGAGCCATCCATGTGCATCAGTATTCCACCCTGGAGAAGCTCTGTGTCAGATGTCTTTCCAGGTCAGCCCTGCTTTGCTCTGGAGGGAAATGGAATGAATAAGAATGGCTTCCCAGAAGCCAAATGCAGGGTCACTTCAGACACTGGAGAATTTCCAGTAAGGAAAGGAATCAAAGGGTCAGGATGAAAATTTTACAGGCCAACTTGGAACAAACCACATCCTTTATTTTTTAATGTACTTGGACTTTTACTATTGATCCTTGACCTGTTGGTACAACTAGATGTGCTGCATAGATTTCTTTTCTGAATAGGAGATCTTTATTTTTTATATTTGAATTGTATCCTTGAGCATAACTTTTCCAGAGAATATATAAAGTGGGACGATTTGAGTACTTTTTTATTTTAGATTTTGTGCTTTATTCAAGAAATTAGAGACCTCAACTATAAATTCTTGGAAACTTCTAATAAATATTCTTTTTTTTAAAAAAAGGTTTTATTTATTTATTTGAGAGAAAGTGAGCGAGAGAGAGAGAAAGCAAGCACAAGTGTGGGGAGGGGCAAAAGGAGAGGGAGGAGCAAGACGCCAGATGCCCTGCTGAGCAGGGAGCCGACTCAGGACTCCATCCCAGGACGCTGAGATCATGATGTGAGCCGAAGGCAGACGCTTAACCCACTGGGCCACCAGGCTCCCCTTAAAAGGATTCTTAATGTGAAAATACAATGTGTTAGCTTCCTAGCACTGCTGTAACAAAGTACCACAAACTAGGTTGCTTAAGACAACAGGAATGTGTTCACAGTTCTGGAGACTGGAAGTCTGAAATTAGGATGTCGGCAGGGTTGGCTTCCCCTAAGGGCTTTCAGGGAGAGTCTGTCTCATGGCTCTCTCCCAGCTTCTGGTGATGGCTGACAATCCTTGGGGTTCCTTGGCTTATAGATATATCACTCCAGTGTCTGCCTCCATCTTCGATCATATGCCAGGTCAAGAAATCAAACACCTCCAAGAGCCAGAGAAGCCCTCCACTTTCCTACACTCCTTCCCCAGCGCAACTCCTCCAGCCCGCCCAAGGTATTATTCTCCTGAGTATTATGCATTTCTTATAGTTTTACCACCTCTGTATGTATCCCTAAGCAAGAAAGTTTTGTTTCATTTATTTTTGAACTTTATATAAGTGAAATAATAAACACATATTCTTCTATGACTTGCTTCTTTCATTCAACATTATGTTTGTGAAAATAATCTATGTTGTGATGCTGAAGCTGTCATTCGTTCATTTGATTGTGTTCTGTCTCACTGCACAAGTAATCCACAATCTATCCATCCTACTGGTGATGGACATTTCTAGTTTCAGGCTATTCCAAACATTGCTGTGCTGAGCATTCTTGTACATTCCTGTACCCTGGTGCTCACATGCAGGCGTTTCTGGGTTCTATGCCTATGAATGGAATGACTGGTTCATTGGGTGTGCATATCTTCACCTTTACTAGATAGTGCCAAACAGGTCCAGTTTACACTTCCATAAGCCATGCGTGAGGGTTCTTGTTGGGCCACATGCTCATCTATGGCTGGTATTTTTGCTCTATTTAATTTTAGCCAATCTGGTGGGTGTGTAGTGATACGTCATTGTGTTTAAATGTTTGTTTTCCTAAGTAACAGTTAGCTTAGACAAATTTTAACATTGCTATTGACCAACATTGCCTTTTGCTTACTACCATAAATATTTCCATGGTGTTACAGAATTACTTTAAATGTCATTTGAAAGGAATTACATGATATTCCACAAGTTAGTTTACCCAACTGTTGGATATGAGGATTTTTTTCGAATGTTTTGATCTCATAATTAATGCTAAAATTAATAAATTTGTATGAAAATTTTAAGATTATTTCCTTGGCATAAATTCCTCCTACATAGAATCATTAAGCTGAAATGTGTGAACTGTTTTAAGGACTTTTATGAAAAATTGTTGCAAGTTATATAACTCATTGATGTGTAGCAGTGATATTTCACTCACCAGTATGTTGTTATACTTTAAAAAACATTTTTTGCTAGTTTGGAAGTTAGAAATAGTCTTCTTTTTTAAAAAATCTAAGTTCATTTGATTACTAGAGTTTGAACACTTTCTCTGTAATTATTAACTAGTGTATTTCTTCTTTAGTTAATTGTCTAAACTTTTGTCCTTTTATACATTCCAGACTTCCTGCTTTGTTTTCATTTATATGAACCATTCATTAAAATAAAATGTAAGCCTATGTTATAATTGCTACAAAATTTTTAACCACTTTGATTTTTCTTAAATACAATGACGTTAACTTTCGATAGTCAAATTTTTCCCATTTTTAAAAAATATTAGAATGTCTTCCTCTCAGAGTTTGCATAGCTATCCAGATTAATTATAATTTAGTTTTTTATACATTTTTAGAAATGTTTAACATTTGATTCACCTGGAACTTATTTTGGTGTAGACATCAATTTTAGGAAGAACTGACATTCTTACAATATAGAATCTCTCCGTGCAGAAATATGGTCGATTTCTCTAACAGTTTTCTTTACACTCTGTAAACTATCCTTCCCAAAAATTTACAGCAATTTTCATTGTAGGGGATAAATTATTTCATTCAGGGATAAATTATTTCTTGGGTAAAGTCACTTTTAATGAGAGAGGGCCCTTCATGAACCCTTTAATGTATGCAAGATGGTCCCCAGAAGTAGTCTGGAATGCTAGTAAAGGAGACAGATACAAATTTTAATTTGTACTGATGATAAAGAGCAAGGACTTTTCAGATTCTGCCTGTGGGCAAAGAAGACAGAGATTTGGGTACACTAAGAATGGGATGAAGAGGGGACACAGGATGAGAATCTGAACAGAAAGAGTGGGAACTGGTCACAAGAAATGACGAGGCCAGGCCGGAGGGAAAAGATAATGTTGAAGCCAGGATTACTGAGGGACATGATGCCAGTCAGTATTAAATGTTTTCTCTTCTCCCATACTGCGGGATAGTATCCTTTCGTTACTGCCAACAGAGAGAATCAATTTCATCAGTCTTAGTTATGAGACTTCACGTTTTCTTTTTTTTTGTTTTTTGTTTTCAAATAAAATTCAATTGCCTCACGTGCCCATTTGTTAGATTGGCTGATCATCAGTGCTCAGTCCTCATGGTGGCGCCATCTGTTGGGCTTTGCTACTCCCTACAGGCTAAGGGTTGGTCCTCAGAAGCATCCTCTCTAGACCATCCACGTTCCCCACAACTTCTGGCACCTTGAGAGCTACTTAAGAGTGCAGCAGAGAGCAAGTCTCTGTCACTACAGAAACTGTCATTTCTCTATATTTCCAGCCTCGGGGAATCCACGTCCCCTACCATATCCCTAAACCAGACCCTGCCTCCTTCTTGTCTTAATGGACTTGATTTCCTAAAG